CATCCATCCATCCATCCATCCATCCATCCATCCATCCATCCATCCATCCATCCATCCATCCATCCATCCATCCATCCATCCATCCATCCAAGTTGTTTCGCGAGGGGTGCTCTTGCTCGGTCTGGTGAGAGGTGGGTTACACCCTGGACAGATCACCAGTCTATCATAGGGCACATTCGAATCCTATTGTATGATTGAGTTACCACTGACATTTGTTTATTTTATGAAATATTCTTTTTTTTTATCTATCTATTTGATTATCTATTTACTTAGTTCTATATTTATATTAAATTATATCAGAGCTGGTCCTCCATATTATAACGCTATGCTAGGCAAAACAATTTATGGCCTTAGGTATGGGGACCTTCACATCCAATTCGGATACAATGTTGCTTGCCACTTGGTGTGAAAATAGGTGCGTTTGAATTGTCGGCTGCGTCCTCTGTAGGACCCACTCTACCTGGAGTGGGTTTTCAAAAGCCATTAAAATGAGGAGGCCGGACGGAGTGTTCGAATTTGATCAGGCATCAAGCAAAAAATGTATCATGAAACCTGAACATTTTTATCCCTTGATCTAATTTATTTCATTTTCGTAGGAACTGGTGAAAGTGGGAAGAGCACCTTCATTAAACAGATGAGGATCATCCATGGCAAAGGGTACAATGAAACTGACAGGAAAAATTTCACCCGGATTGTCTTCCAAAATATCGTCACAGCCATACAGGCGCTAATTGAAGCTATGAGTTATCTACACATCCAGTATGCTGACAACCAAAATGTTGTAAGAATCTTACAAAATTCTTAATGGTCTACTTTTATATCCTCTTTGTCAGATTATGTAATATTAACAATGTTCACTTTAGGGTTTCTATGCTTTTTGATGAGTGTCAAATTTAACCCCTGCTAAACTGGCTGTCATAGTAATACTGTATCATAGATGTAGAGGATATCTTCTGTGTCTGTTAACCTTTATGCAATGTTGTGGATTCTCATAAAGCTCTCTGTACCACATTGCTCTATGTGCAATGCATACTGTCTAAGTGCCTAACTCTTTTTGTGTGAATATTTGGTTGCCACTAGTATGTCTTTAAACCTATTCTGCCAAATATCAAAGGTGTGTTTCTAGTAGACTTGTAGTAGACCTGTGGCTATTTTTTTGTCAGAGTTATGCCAAGAAACTGAGCGAGGTGGAGGTATCTGATTTGACGACATTGGCGCCCTGGCAGGTGGATGCCATCAAGCGAGTATGGAATGATGGTGGTGTACAAAAGTGCTATGACCGTCGGAGGGAGTACCAGTTGTCAGACTCTGCCAAATAGTAAGATCTAAACTGAGTATTTGAATATAGATATAAATTATGATCATTTTAACACAATGCTTTATGATAGTTTTGCTGGACATCACAATATTAAACTGCTTGTTTTGTTATTTATGTTTTAGTTATCTGAATGACATGGACAGAATCACAGCCCAAGATTATATTCCATCTGAGCAGGATATCTTGAGGGTCCGAGTAGCCACTACGGGTATCATAGAGTACATATTTGATATGTCAAAAGTCACCTTCAGGTATGCTGCCACTTTGTTCCATAGCTAACACAAAAAGGGACAGGTTTAACACCCTTTTAAACCTTTACTTTGCTGTCATTGTTGGTTTGAAAAGGAGAGAAATACAAGTGTTTTTGGTTTGACAAAACAAAAATCAATACAAGTACGTCTTCTGTTCTCAGAATGGTGGATGTGGGTGGCCAGCGCTCAGAAAGGAAAAAATGGATCCACTGCTTTGAAAGTGTCACTTCGATCATATTCCTAGCAGCCCTAAGTGAATATGATCAAGTACTTTATGAGAGCCAGAATGAGGTATGTTCTGATCTAAAGTTTGTTAGTTTCAGATGGGTTTAACAGTAGCTTTTGCTAAGATTGTTCGCATCTGTTTTAGAACCGGCTACGAGAGAGCCTTGCCCTGTTTGAGACAATCAACACATCCAATTGGTTTCAAGATTCTTCCACTATTCTTTTTCTGAACAAAACAGACCTGCTGGCTGAGAAAATCACAGAATCTCATCTGGCAACATACTTCCCAGAATACAATGGTAAATTATATCCTGTTGCTCATGTTAAAATTTTTTGAATTTAAAAAAATAACGTTTATCTACAACTGCTTTCAGTTGTAGTTTTTATTTTTCGCCATTTTAAAGATTAGTTTCATTTTTCCAGTTTGCTTTATTAAAAACATTGGGTCTTTTAGTTCATTTAGTGGAATTAATTCAAGCCTTGATTATGGGTGGTGAGAAATCACCATCAAAAATACCTTAAGAGTTGTTACATATTTACTTTGATGCTTTGTGTTTTTCTTGCTCTTAGCTTCTCAATTAGAAATACAGCAGGGGGTCAAGCCCATACCAGCAATTTGTGGACATGTGGCAGAATTACCCTAAATAAATTGCTTATTCAAAGTCTGCATGAACAGGTTTGAGGAAGCCAAACCTGAATTACAGTCTGAAACTATCTTGTGATGAAGAAATTAGGTTACCTATTACAATATTCTCCTGAAAAAAACTTCCAAAAGTAAAAGAAATAAAAAAAACTGAAAAAATATATGCTCAGTCTTAATACATTTTTTTAATCAAGTTGTATAATAGAGGGATTTTTTTTTTACCTTTGCCTGGTGACACCTCTGATATTTGTCCAGATTCCGAGATCCTCGCTTTATGCTCCAAGGAGACTTCCTTGGTTTCGATTAAGGCCACCAAACTTTTACTCCAACTTTTTCAACATTTCAAAAAATTCATGATAATCATTCAAAACCCCATGAGAGGAGAGGTTATAATGCGCCGACTTAGTCTGTTTTAAGTCAGACTGTTTGAATTCCCATGAAGGTTTATGAAACCCCGTTCCTCAAGTTGTTTTCCACACAACACAGTTACCAAGTATATACACAGTGTCTCATAATGTTCATTCTATTTCACCCCCAATTAAGATGGGGTTTTTTCACCTCCATTACCATCATCTTTAATATGCATGGTGGGAATATAAGGAGTCAAAAGGAAACAAAATTAATAACTAACAATAAACTTCTTCAAATTGTCGTCATCTAGAAGAAAAAATAAAAATCTCTTTAGCCATAGATACATAATAAATAATATATATATCATAAGCAATAGCTAAATTATGAATGGAGCTCTTTGGGTTTCTCTAATTGTGTTCACTCTCTCTCCCACAGGGCCCAAAGGTGATGCTGAATCAGCAAAAAAGTTCATTGAGAAGTTGTACATTCAATTACACCAAAATTCTCATAAAGCCCTCTATACACACTTCACCTGTGCCACTGACACAGAGAACATCCGGGTTGTCTTCAAAGCTGTCAAAGACACTCTCTTTCAAGAAAATCTTGAAAGATTCAACATTGTATGAAAGAAACCCCAGTGATTATTTATCTTTAGTAACACAAAAGTTCAGGTACAATCAAATGTTGCAATTTTTTGAAATTAAAATACTGTCAGACTACGGCTTTGAAAACCATAAAAAACACAAAGCAAACATAAGAATGTTTAACTCCACTGTACTGAATCATGTCATTTTATTGAAATAGCAATGTATCAAATAGCAAATTATAAAAATGTTCATAATATTTAAATATTTGAAATCAGAAGTATTTAACCTTATGGGAAACAAAGGAAAAGCGAAGAATGTTGAAAATCACTTATAAATAAATAAATTCCATTATGGTAGATTTGTCATATTTTTTTCTTCTTTATAGAGCATAAAACTTCAGACACACTAAAACAGACACTAAAATACAGTAGGTAGTGATATATTAAGTCAGCTATGTTTACATAAAATGATTTGCTAAGAACTGTTCTTGCTTATTAAAGATTTTTTTCCAATTTTTATTTAAATATCTTTTGAAGTTATTTTAAATTAATTTTCCAACCACATTAGAAGGGGAATCACTGGTATGAGGATTTAACCTGAAACATATGATTCAGCCAATGCTGATGTGGGGCCCCTTTTTTCGAAACCTCTTTTCAAAAGGCTTTGCTATGTAGTACCATTAATGTGAAATTATTCTTTTCATACTAAGCAATAATTGTACTGATTGGTTGTTGTATGAAAATAACAACTAAATTGTTAGTTCCACTTTTATTTTTCTTCCATTCCCACCATCACAGCGCTCCCTGGATGAAAGGCGGCCTTAACATTACCCTATTTAGCCTAGGCCAAGAGCCGGTCCTGAATAGCTCAGGATAACTTGAGCCACTCTAACTATGCGCTTTATAAAAAAAATTAAGTTTTGAGCCTTGCCTTAAAAGTAGACATGGAGTCTACTCTGTGGCTGGCTAGCTCAAGTGTTAAGTCACCCGTCCTGCACACAGGAAGCCTGTATCCCAGCTGGGGGGAATGAGCAGCCAGTGTGGGTCCTTAGGCAAGACCATTCAAGCTAATGCCTTCTTTGTAGAGTGGCAGCCTAGTGGTTAGGAATCCTAAGGTTCTGAGTTCAAGCCTGACTGCCACTCTTGCACCCTGAACAAGTTTTTTAGTTCTATTCTGGATTTAACAGGAAAGCAATAGACAAAAGTTGAGACAGGAGAAAAATTTCATATAAACTCTGGCTGCAGCATTTTGGAACAGCTGATGGCTTTTAACTACAGTTTGTGGACTTCCTGATAGTAAAGAATTAAAAAAGTCTAGCCTTGAAGTAATTAATTCATGGACAAGTTTCTCATCATCACCCCTGGACAATATTCCATTATTACTGTATGCAACATTCCGTAGATGAAAGAAGGAAATTTTACAAACCTTGTCGATATGGGATTTAAATGATCAAAAATAACACCAAGATTTTTTAATTTATCATCTGAGATCAATTTAATCCCATCCAAATGAAGTGACTCACTAATCAGCTTCTTTTTCAAAGACTCTGGTCCAAAGACTTTAAGTTCTGTTTTGTCTGCATTCAGGAGCAGAAAGTTAAGTCATCCAGGTTGTTATGTCTTCAAGACATGCCTGTAATCTATGTAATGGGTTAGCTTCATCTGGATTTATAGACACATATAGCTGAGTATCAGCATAACCACGAAAATTAATCCCTTGCTGTCTAATAATTCTACCTATTGGTACCATATATATATATATATATATATATATATATATATATATATATATATATATATATATATATATAGTAAAGAAAACTGGTACTAGCACTGATCCCTGTGGTACTCCACAGGTAACCCCAGAGCATGAGGAAGATGTATCATTAATTTGAACAAACAGAAATATGATTTAAACCAGCCTAGTGCAGTTTCTTTAAATTCTACAAAATATTCAAGTATTTCTAAAACAATTTTATGATCAACTGTGTCAAATGCAGCACTGAGATCTAACAGGACAAGTACAGTCTATTATCTGAGGCAATGATAATATGTTTAGTGACTTTCACCAGAGCTGTTTCAGAGCTCTAAAACTAAACTGAAACTCTTCAAAAATCATTATGATGTGAGTGGTCACACAATAGTTTAGCCACTATTTTCTAAACAATTTTAGATAATAAAGGAAGACTGGATATAGGCCTATAATTCACCAAGTCATCTGGGTCAAAAGACGGTTTCTTAAGTAAAAGTTTAATTACAGCTACCTTAAAATCCTGAGGAACATATCCTTGAAACAGGGACAGAAAGAAATAAGAGTGAATACTTAATTAAATAATGTGGTTGGAAGTGGATCTAACATACAACTTGAAGGCTCAGATGAGGATGAAATTTTTGCTAACTCTGAAAGTTCAAATGGATGAAAGAATGTCTAAACCCGGTTCAGATTCTTTAGTTTCCTCACTCTTCAGAGATAAATCAGTCATATTTAGAGCAGTGGCGGCTGGCAAAGTTTTCTCCAGGGGGGGCTATAAATTCAAAATAGATGCATACCAAAAACCAATCAAATGTATACTAAGTAATCACACAAGTATATTTATATGAATGCCAACACTTTATAAAATAAAAGGCAAATCTTGAGTAACAAACCTAAAGAAATCATATACCAGTTTAATAATGGAGAAGCTATTTGTCAGCTTTATATATTTTTAATGTATAAAAACAATTTATTTTCTGAGAATGTGTTTTTTTTTAAGAGCAACTATGCAAATTAACAAACATCTAGAAAAAGTGCACTATATTATATAATTTTCCATGTGAATCCCAGATTGTTCATTCTTCTTTATCTTTTCAAATAGTCAAAAGAGGTTCACCTCCACTTTCTCTTGGTAAGTTTCCGGCTGGTCAATCACCTGCACAATAACTGTGACGACAGTTCCTGTCACCTCAGCGTGTAGCTTTGGCCACTATTGGCCAGCTGCCACTGTGCTAATAATCTTATTTTTAATAGAATCCATCTTATTTATAAAGAATCCCATAAATTCATTACTACATGTCTGCTTCCCTGCTTCTGCTGCTGCTTCCCTAATTGAATTTCATTTCTCAAACTCTCTATCCTACTTCTGCACCTTGGTCGTGAACACTGGATCATGACATACTGTAAGTACTCTCAATGCTGCCTCTTGGAATGTTATTTTCAACAAAGCTCCATCAATTGTTATAAAATATTCTGTGAACTGTAGCTTACACACAATACCCTTATGGGTGGGACTTTACATGCAACACAGATAAAGCAGAAGTCCATTTCACAAAGCGGTTTTTTTTTTAAAAAATCAAAGTTTTTTTGAACCTGAAATAAGGGAAACTGAGTTTTAGCTTTAACAAAGAGAGTTTACTCAACCTTTGTGTCTGTTACCATTGTGACATTGGTCCTCATGTAACAACATTTTCCCATTCTCGTCATAAATTTCTCTTCCTTTTTCTCCTACCATGGGCTATTTTAAATGTGAAATATCAGATTCAACAAACGTTCTTAACTTCAGAAAATGTTCCTAGATGTTCCTTATAAACCTTATGCTGTCCACCTGTGTGTAAGTGAAAATGCTTTCATGAGAAATGTAAATCTGCATGATATGCATAATACAGTAAGGCTATATGGTATAAGCCTACGACTTCCCACATTTTTCAGGAGGTGTTAATTCATAGAAATGGTATTGAAGATGAAGAAGGTAACAAAACAGGTTAGAGATTAAAGTTCTGAAAACTGAAAGCTGAGCAAAAGAATTAAAGGAAAAGCAGCCAGTAGACTGCTGTTAACCAGATCTGGCCAGTTCTATATCACTTCTATACCTGTTTACTTCTATATCTGTTCGTTTTACTTTTGTGTGTTGGTCAGCCAAAATGGACAATCTTATGCTGACCTATGGTGGCCAGAGTGTCCAGCCTCAACTTACATGGTAATTCTGCAGAAGGCCCAAAATACTGACTGGGGGCTGTGGGGGACACTTGCTGACTTACTTTTTGATGAAAATGGAAAGATGGCAGAAACGCTCTGCCTTCTGGGGGGGTCTTCCCCTGGAAATGGCAGAAGACGCAAGAGCCTGATAAATGATTAGACTTACTGTACCTCTGCAGATTTTGCTTGTATCAATGATTTGTTAAACATGAATAAATACAGTTAATACTTAACAATGTTTCCTCCTTTGTGTACGCTATTTGAGAAACAACACATCATCAGATTTAGACAGGTTAAAAAGGGTTCTACAGCAACATATGTATATTCATAAAAATGGAAGAAGGCAAGAGGTGCAACACATGATGTAATTGCTTAATATGGGTTTGCCATCAACTAACACCAGCACAACAATCTGTTAAATCTCCTTTTAATACATACACACTCATGTACTGCACATCACAAGACCATGTCTGTCATCCCTTCACCTCACTATCCATATGTCTAATACATCAACATGAAAATATTGATGTTGAATCTCTAATTTGACAAAGTCATACCAATGTCATGACCGATATTAAAATGTAATTTATGATTGTAGAGTTGCATGATATATATTGATATAGCCTAATAAAATGAACAACTGCTTCTAAGTAACAGCAAATGTAGTCATTTAGTGAAAATCCAGGTTTTGATATTAGCTGACTAAGCGCGCAAGACTATTACATCAAGTCTGGAGTGTTCATAAAATATGTTAATACCTGACAGACAATTAGAAATAAAATAAAAATTGTCATTGTGACATTTTCTCCTAAATCACTCATATGAAAGCTTTAAGAACTAATTTATTCATGCAAACGGCTCTTGAATGAGAACCATTCTCCTCAGAGCTAACCTGGTCAGCAGCAGGTTTTCCCCAATAAACCTAGAGATCTCTGTCTCCACCTTCCTTAAAGCCAATCACGTTTTATTACCTGTCTAGCAAGCAGAATTTAGTTGTAAGTCTGTGGCAACAATAAAAAGATGATCATTTAGTAGGTCCATAGACAGGGTGTTAAAAACATAAACATAGCAAGTCCTTTTGATGAGGATCCGATCAAAGAATGAGTGGCCTCAATTCCCAGAGAATTAAATATCAGAATCAGAATCAGACATACTTTAATAATCCCAGATGGAAATTACAGTTTTAGTACAACCATTCATCACAATACATAACATACATTAGAGGTCCAGGTGGTTGGGGAAAAGAGGGAAAAAAAACATTTCACACTTTATCCTTGGTGGGGCAGTCTTCTGTGCCCTTTCGCCATAACATCCAGGGGAGATTAGATAAAGGGGGTAGGTTGAATCCAGAATAACACTTATTGTTTTGAGAGCAGGCTGCACAGGAATTTCTTTCAGCCTTGAGTCTTTGTCTTGCTGGCTCTTTCGTGGCGAAATCCAATATTTCAAATGTGTTGAGCTTTTCCACCTTGAACCGAGCATGCACGTCCAAGATGTTATCCCATCTCACCTTTGAGTTCAACCACCGCAGCCAGCCTGCGTTCAATCACACCCAGCATACAGCTCAGCTCCCGATCGTGCTTGTTCGCAGCCTTTGTGATGGCGCCAACTGCTGCCAGCAGCCTGATCAATGCCCAAATTGCTGCCGAAATCCTCT